TTTGAATGCCCAACTTTGGGGCCTTGTCAACCCAAAGCAACATATGGGCATGAGGGGAACCTCTGGCTTGAAATTCTATCCGAATCACATAATCAGTAATATGACCCAATGGCTGTGCCGGGGACAATAGTACATCTTTGTACAAGCATTCTAAACGATAGTGAAAGTGTCTAGCTGCGGTAACTGGGTTGGACCTTAACCACATAGACCTCTGCTCAAAGGAAAGCTTAGCTACGTCATCATCCGTTAAAATGGACCCGTACTGTCTAGCAATGGATGAAATTAAGTCTGGCCATCGCATGTCTGCGGCACTTAGTGTGAAGAAAAATGTAGGAATTCCAATCTGACGAATCATAGCCAGTACATCATAAAATACGCCTTGGAAATAAGCGGGCGAACCTCGAATATTCTGCAGTATTCTGAAAGCTTTATCAGTTTCAATCATGTTATTTATATTATCCGAATTTCGAATAAATCCAGCAGTTATCTCGTTATTTCCGCATTCGTGATTTACTCGACGAAACACGAAGTGGTTGACGTCACCCTGTATCTGTTTGCTTTCAATTGCATACTGGGCGGATAATAAGTATTCAATATTTCGTGCGAATCTTCCGTCAGCATCTAAAAGTCTTTTGATTGAATACTTACGCGGAGTGATTGGGACAACACGATCAGTACTGAAACCATTATTTCCATCCGGATATAATGATGGATATGCTAGTTGTTCGAATTTATCATCGGCCAATAATGGAATCGGTTTTTCATCTTCAGCGGGAGCCATACTGATAATTTTATCACTGATGTCATCATTGACAACCGTTGATTCATACTGTAAACCTCGGACACTTGTTGATTGTTTTAAATCAATCTCATCCTCTTTATTTTCAATTACTGCGCTGCTTATTTCGGGGGAATTACTTTTTGTAACCTTACATCTTTGAATTTTGTGACTGATATCCATAAGTTCCATTTTTGAATAACTGTCTGTGTTCGAATCTGAATATTGTGATTCAGGTTCAAATACAACGTAGTGCTGTTGTCCAATTAGACCTAAATGAAATTCATTTTTATATGAATATCTGGATCGCACAACTATATCATCTCCGTTAGTTTTGTGCACAACAATTTTCAGTGCGAACATATCGGTGATAGCTTGCAATGCTATATGCTCGCCCCACTGTGAACCATTTTCCAACTTATTTAAGTAATTTTGCCACATTAGATTATGACGAGACACCGGACTATTAACTTGGGAAATGTGGTAATCGTAATCTGACGGATGCTCCATGTCAGAGCAATAAAGTTCTTCATATCCGACATTGGAACATACAAAATCTCTATAAGCATCTGCGTGTTCAAGCATATATTTGGATAGTTCACGTCGTATTTCGACTGGGGTTTGCAGCGATATGCCAAGACGTACTAAGTGATGGCAGACGGCGTTAAACATACAATTTCCATCTGATGGAACGTTTATCATTTTCATTCCCTGCGTTTGCGAAGTGTTCCATAAATTGCGACTCGAAACGCTACCCGTACATGTCGGCGAATATGAAACATTTGTGGATGATGAGTTTGTTGAACTACGCTTTTTCTCGCTATCAGGGAAATGGCGAGAAGCACACGTTGTTTGAATATCTGGTGCTACGGGAATGTTTTTGACCGATTCATTAGAATTTAACTGCATGTCATCGTTGTCGTCGATAAACATAGCATTCCACAATTCCTCGTCATTTTTTGAAGCATGTTCAATATAATTGTCGTTGATAATGATATCTTTATACAAGAAATTGTTATTTTTCAACCATTTCAGTGCACATATGACTTTATCAACTCGCACATAATCATACATGTAATGCGATGTGTAGGACAATTTACGTTTTAACTTCAATGGAATCAACTGACATTCAGAGGGCAACCGAGGAAATTGATCACATACGACGTGTAACTTAGAGGGAACATTGACTGCTGGACCGTGAATTCCTCGTTGCTTGCCACAAGGAAGTCCAAGAATTTTCATAAAAGGGATTCGCTGTGAAATCAAACGAAGTTCTAGCACATTCAGATCTTTTAAAGCAGCTGGTTGGTCCGCTATCGTCATATTATTCGCTTTAGATTGGCAAGGTATTTTTCCATTCTTTAACGATATGTGACATGTTCTGCAAATGTACACGTTTCCATCTGGTGACTTAATTTCGAATGATAGAACACATTCAATTATTTTCATGTTTACGTTCTTGTAAGCAGTTTTATTGAGTTTCACTACACTAACTTTGTACTGTAAACGGTGGCATGAAGTGCAGGGAAAATCTGCGCTACTGGAAATATGGTGATGAAATTTCTGTATATATGTAAAGTTTGTGTTATTTTCTCCATGTTGACGAACGTCCGTGGCGCGTTTTTTTATTCGATTTAGACGAGCAGTTTTTTCATGTATAATTTCCTTCGTTCGTACCTCGGCTGTCCGTTTTTTGTCTTGTTGGAGACGGCCAGATTTTTCTGGAGCCGTTTCGCGCGCACGAACCTCGGCTGTTCGTTTTTTGTTTTGTTGGAGACGGACAGATCTTTCCGGAGCCGTTTCGCGCGCACGAACCTCGGCCGTCCGTTTTTTGTCTTGTTGGAGACGGCCAGATTTTTCCGGAGTCGTTTCGTGCGCACGAACCTCGGCCGTCCGTTTTTTGTCTTGTTGGAGACGGCCAGATTTTTCCGGAGTCGTTTCGTGCGCACGAACCTCGGCCGTCCGTTTTTTCTTTTGTTGGAGACGGACAGATCTTTTCGGAGCCGTTTCGCGCGCACGAACCCCGGCCGTCCGTTTTTTGTCTTGTTGGAGACGGACAGATTTTTCCGGAGCCGTTTCGCGCGCACGAACCTCGGCCGTCCGTTTTTTCTTTTGTTGGAGACGGACAGATCTTTCCGGAGTCGTTTCGCGCGCACGGACCTCGGCCGTCCGTTTTTTCTTTTGTTGGAGACGGACAGATCTTTCCGAAGCCGTTTCGCGCGCACGAACCGCGGACGTCTGTTTTTTGTCTTGTTCTCGACGATATATTTTTTTCTGTGTGGTCTCCCATTTTCGCACCTCCGCCATATGTTTTTTAGCCTTATCAAGTCGACATAAGGTACCCATCTCAGTTTCATTTGGGTGCTTTTGCCGAGATTTGTTAACAATACCAGATAGCATTTCTCCGGAAACCAGTGATATCGTGTCACCAATACCATAGCGAGCACTCGCAAGCCACTGTGACAGAGAACGTTCAGAAGCAGCACTATCACTATCCTTGTCATTGAAAGATGTGAGACGAACACTGTCTTTCCAAGTTTGTTCGGCCTTACTTTTAGCCTTTCTCTCCCTCTTTTTAACTTCTAAACTTTTTTTCTTCATCTTGGGCATCGCGTTATATCAAAATATGTAGTAAACAACAGCCAACTCCTCACGTTGTCGTCGAAATACTACTCGAGGAAATACTTTTATGAATAAATTTGCAAATCCGAACTGAACCGTTTTGATCAGTTTTCAGCCAGTAGCCAATTTACTACCGAAAATGGCTAACGCCAACTATAGTATATATTGTGTCAAATAAAACGGCGCTAACCGCAATTGCGACGGCTATTCAACCACAGCCTAGCGATATTTTGGTAAAGAATTAGATTTGGTTTCAGTCAATACCCTTTTTGCCACCGGCAATGGCGACCGTCGACTATCCTATAGCTCTATAGTTTGTGTCAAACGCAAAGATAGTATACGACGGATGGTTTCGATTGTATCCGAATGGTTTTTATTCAATGGTTCCAGATCAGTGATGTCGAAGCGGCGTGTAACTGAAATACTTAAACGCTCAACATCGCAGATAGAACAGTGTTACGCACACACACACACACAATCGTATGGAAAAGGGGATCTCCCAAAACAGAAACTGCGGCTTTGATAGAATCGCAGACAGGGCATTGTTACGCAACAATCCCTTTCGATTTCTTCTCTCTGAACCTCTAGCGACACCGTGTGTCCCATCACTAATTAATTAATAACTCGCTAAATATACGACATAATCAACCCAAAATCAATAGGCTTTTGGTCCGAGATTTGATGTATGCACATGCAAAATTTGGAGCAGATTCAACCTCGCATTCGCGAGATATCGGGTTCATCTAACAGACACACACACAGACACACAGACAGACATACAGACAAATACCTATCAATATACTTACCGATCTTAAGATCGATAAGTAATAAATCAGTGGTCTCGCTGGAGAAAAAAACGTTGCATAATGGTTTGCAAAGTTATGTTTTGTAATGTACCCGGAATTCAAAGTTTGGTTGACTGCTTAGTAAGACTGCAAACCTGTGACATAATCATTTTTAGGCCTATAACGGGATTTTGCATCGAGAGGGAAATACATCGCTGGTATAGAATATTTTGAAATCTCCAAATTACACACAGATTATAAAAACCTAAATGTTTAAAACATGAGAAATATCATGTGCCCACCTGCACACATACAAAAATTCACACGAAACACAAACACCTACGGTAGTTAAAAAAGGCTTGGGCCAGAAATAAACATACAAATGTATTGAACTTTCCGGCCGCTGTACTTTAAATCTCACAGAAGGCTATTTTAAATGCAGAGCAATTATTCAGCGACATATGAAATCAATCAGAGGAGAGTCTTTGGTAAATTGTGAGTCGTGTCAATCACGAAATCTGCGATCTGATGGATCTCGTATCTAATCTTTAATAATTATCTATTTCTATATTTTAGTTATATAATTCAGCAAAACCATGCCGTACCCACCGCCAATAACAGTATTTATATGACTGAATTCCCCGATATTTTAACTGGATATTAGAACCGTGGGTCGATAACCAGATTTGGTTCCGCGCGGCTTCCCTTCCACAGTAAAATTGTATGATTACCTTTTTATTAAATATATATTGTATGTGATTGTTTTTCCTGAGTGGAAAAAATAAACTTGACTTGACGGTTAGGTGCGTATAGCCCAAGTTATTTCATTTAGAAAGATAATCGAGTCTAAGGTAACTGCTAACTCGCCCTAACACAGCTTTCTAGGCCAAAATGTTTGCTAATCCCAAAGTTGAGCTTCGTACTAAATATAACAAATATATATTTCACAGATCTTCCTTGACATCGGAGGAGGCGTTTGTATTCTGTGCATTCTGATTGGATTCCATGCTCGTAAGGCGGCAATGGCGTTCGCGATCACGCTCATGACTTTCAATATCGTTCACAACAATTTCTGGATTCACAGCGGCATCATGAACGATTTCCTCAAATTCGACTTCTTCCAGGTAGGTTATGTTTCATACACTCTCACTACGAATAAGAATCTGTGCGAGAAGTCAACGATATGCAAGAACTAGGGGAACTTGGATATTGTGTATTGAACTACCTTTCTCCTTGATTACTTTCTACTTCGGATACTTATGTGGCACTCACTACAAGGATGCTTGAACGAGATAGTATTAAAGTGAAAAGTAAAAATAACATGATCTCTTTCAACGAAATATTAGGTATATATGCAAGAAGCTGCGATATTTTTCAATCTTGGGATATGATTTTCCGAGAAATACCGAGAATTTATGAAATACCGAGATTGAGTAATCATATGGCGAACTACGGCCTTTCGTCCGGTTACCAGTCAATGCCGTGGATGTGAATAGTTATTTGTTTTAGATGCATGGACCTGAATGTCGCTTTTCGATAACCAGCTTCGCTTCCCCAATAAAACTCAGTGAATAATTTTTCCGGGTTAGAAAAAATTGACTTGACGGTGCAGGGAGCCGTAACCTACCAGTTGCCACGTTAATCACCCTTCGAGAAGTTCAGCAATTCTATCACACATAACTTTTCCTCACGGAATTGGAACCTGTGAACCCACGCAGAGTAATCAGAGGTGCCATGACAAGCGTATTTCTAGCCATTTCGCTCAAACGTAGGAGAATTCCCATTCGTGCCATTCTCAATCTTATACTGGTTATTTTCAGACTACTTCGGTCGTTGGCGGCTTGGTCATGGTGGCGTCAGAAGGTCCTGGCGGTTTCAGTTACGAAGAATACAAGAAAACTCAGTGATGGATCTGATTGGTTAAACCAGTGATGACGGAATAATGAAATATTATTTACAACGACAAACTAATAAAATATATTGCACAATAGTTTATAGGTTCAGCAATTTCAACTTTATCATCGGAATTTTAGATTTTAAATAGAATTTAATATTGAAGCATTATACAGGGTGTCCGAAAAATTTCCTTCGATTTCATAGTTATAACAATTATAAGTTTAAATAGATTTTATTATGTGATAAATAAGAACTACAAGCACAATAAGAATTAGAAATTTTGATCGTTATTACTATGAAAACGGGCGAAATTTTTGGACACCCTTTATTATCGGAAATGCTCATTAATAGTAAAATACTACCTTCTCATATCACAGATTAATAAAAAGATTTTCAGCTCATGTATTGCTGCGTTTTCTTATTATAAGAAGTACCTTTGCGTATAAACAGTTGGCTAAGATAGTGCATGTCGGTTATCGTGACTAGTGATAGTGTGACAAGGGCGGGCAATTACTTTTCCGAGTTTTAGATAATAGACTTGGTTACTGTGCCGAAGACTCAAAAGATAAAAGTAGAAATAAAAAACAGTTCATTTACAACTGCTGGACAGCAGATGGGTAACGTGCGACCGCACTAGACGTATATTTTGTGCCATGATAATCCAGCTTACGTAGTGGAATACAAACATTTTCTGATATAAGGGAACCCGTTATTGTGAATTCGATGCAAAGAGCACTCGTTATTGAATTTTTCAATCTCGGAAGACCGGACAGATTCTGGCGCCTCCAAACTATAGTAGATTATCTGGCTTATCTGGTAGTGAGTGACGGATCGCGCAGTCTTCAATCTCACCGTGAAAAGCGCATACGAATACTACATTCTTCAATACTGAGATATTAAGCAAAACAGCGCCCGAAACTTTTTGTATGTGTGAGCCGGCGGCGGGCAAAAAATACTTGGAATATAATATTTTAAAAAACATTACACGGAGCCGTGAATATGAAGAGGGTACCAATTCATACAAACCATGAAGCTCAAAAAACGTTGTCAATTAATTAATCGTTATATTAATCTTGACATAGGTCCTATTTTAATTTCGGAAGAAATCTTAGATGAAAATATTCGAATTTTGTATGGTTAGATTCACCATCGCCTAGGATTTCAGTTAGAATGAATATACAGGATGTCCAAATAACTTCGCCCGATTTTTTTTTAAATTTTTTTTGCATGGTAAATGAGAACTAGAAGAGCTACATTTGTTATTACTATAAAATCGGGCGAAATTTGTAAACGTCCAACGCTCGAATTGCGTCAGCGAAAGATTTATTCACCGTGCCCCGCAAATATTTGTATGTATGTATGCATGTATGTTTATTCGTCTCGTAAAAGCAAAAACACAGGAGTAAATATCAACATTGAAGACGGGATGTATACTCAAGACCCTACTGGCCTAAAACACATGAACGTGCGGCATACACCCCCTAAGATAAACATAAAATGCAATAAATCAAATAATTATAATAATATGGTCCTTCATACAGACAGTTGTGCAAGGACGGTGGTTGCGTAGCAATATAGGCAACAGGGGGAAGGGTGGGGTATGCCCAACTGTTTGTACAAAGGAGTTGGTAGGACAAGACAACCTCGTCAATATCTTAAAAATCAATCCTACAGACGTACTTTGCTGTCGAAGTTTAAGGCATAGCTTCTCAAAGTGCTCCGTACGGAGACCCAGGGATCCGTGTGAGAAACCTAGAGGCTCCGCAAGCTATTCGATTACTTATCAAAATACTGACTTGGCTAATTTTGTTACTGTTCAAAGAATCAATTACATCATGACATTTGACAAAAGTAGCGTCGAAATATGGCAACAAGGTGGTAATTCAAATATGACATTACATATATAAGCATGACCACAGCCAGGATTTTATAAAACGGAGATGGTTCAAAATTGGAATCGGAAATTCCCCGCACAACATTCTTCGCGATTGGGCAATTCGTAAAAAAAAACTTTTTCAGTGGATAACGAGTTTTCTGTTGCGTAAAATATTCAATTCATGGCCGACGCGATCATTTGAAATGTCTCGTCATAATAATTTATTTGTGCTCATCGTTACTCGCGTTTGAGTCAAGATTACTATTACGATTATGAAACATTACTATTCTAAAATAACATAAATAAACTGCCAACTATCAATGAATTGGAGTCGTATTTTGCAATCTTGAGTTGAACTAAGTATGTCTGAAGAAGTCTGACCTTGGTCAGACGAAACGTTACAGAAATATATTCGTGTTAGTGTGCAGCAAGACTCTTGAATCATTTGAGATTCGTCAAATTTAAGTTGTTCTTTCAGCATTCAAGAGTATTTTATGCAAGATATCGATCTTACAGAAATACCAAGGTCGGCGTTAAAATTTCAATGAGTATAATTTACAATTGCGCATTCCATGACCGATGCGGATATTTAAAATTCCTTGGTTATTGGCTCAATTGTGTTGACTTAAAAATTGATTAATATACTTTCCATTAAGTATCTTATATGTCGTCACTTACCGAGAAAAATTCGCATGCGGCTCCGGTTGTAGTCTCAGAATGGGCAAAAAAATACATCGCGCGCACAGTTGAGTGTGTTTCGATTTTAGTGACTATGGTATGAATCCTAACGAAGCCTAACATAACACCAAATTTTGTGATTTACAATGTCTAAAAAAGGCGTTTTTAATCTGTCGCAAGTCTGCTAAAACAAAACTTATGCGGGTATCTTCCGCTTTAGTTTTAATATTTTATAATGGCGCTTTTCCGATCAAGAAATTCGGGTTGCGGATTCTCATCTTCATTAAATTATTTTAGCATGTCGTCGCCGATAATAATAAAACACTAACTTGTTTTCACACTTAACTCATAATTCCGTGCATGAACAAAAAAGTAATTTTCGTCGTCCTCGTGGAACAATACATGCATAAGCCAAGTAAAATTTGTGATTCATGGAGAATTAACACCGGCGTAAAGATGTTCTCAGTCTTAATTAAAAACACGCGACGACGACGAAAACAATTGGCGAATTCAACCAAATGCAATCGTGCACGTTATTAGCGACTTTTTCAGTCTTCCAAAAATATTACAAGGTAAGGAGTTTGAACCCGAATTTATTAAGGTGTTTTTTAACATATTTACAGCATTATTATATATAATTTATCTGTGGAATTCAGATTTATTTAAGTCTTGTATTGACTTGTATTAGGTGCTGTAAGACCGATGACGGATCATTCCGTCCTTCACACCACCTGTCATTTTAATATTTATTTATTGCAGATATTTTGTTGTTGATTGTTTGTTTTCTGAAGAGACAAATAAAATAACTCTGACTGACTCAAAGGAAGGTTTGGCATTTAAATTAAGTAAAGTAATTTTAATCCACTCAGGAACATTAATCGGCAAGTAACAATGTGTATTTTGTCTTTATAAATTTATTGTGGGGCTCCATAAATATAAGTCAACCACTTCACGGGCTCCGTAACACCAAATGTTTGAAAACACCTGATCTAAATTTACAAGCACACATTTTCAACTATCTCGGTTGGTTGATCTGGTGAAAGGATTATTGATAGCAAGCCAGGAAAAGTTTTCAGTGAATCGTTAAAAAGTAGAGTAAAATGGTGTTGGAAAAAGCGTAATGATTTATGTCTCACTGCAAATGCTGTACAATATTATTAGCTCCCAATTTGAGTCGGAACTGCAAACTCAAACGAAGAAATGTTGCGTCTTTGCGTTTATTTTGTAGATAAAATACCGTGTTTATCTTAATTTTTGCACGGTATATTATCTTACCTTATCTTATTCAGTATGTACAATGTGTACACTCGGCACGTGAAAAATAAACTACTGACTGATTATATTCTCAGTATTCGCTATAGTCGGTTCTAACAGTGATAGATAGAAGTTCCTAAACCCCGAGTCCAACTTATTTTATTCAGATTACTCGAGTCACTCCGAGCCTTTGATAAATGGCCACTCAAGCCTTCTCAACACTGCCATCAAGTCTATGCATATTTTGCCGTAATGGTAATCAAATGATGGTGACATCATACAGATCAGTATTGTACCGGATCACAGTATAGTGCGGTAGTTCCCAACTATTCATGGCTCGTGGCCGCTTTTGGAGGCTTATAGGTCCCCTGTTCACAATTTTAAAAATTCGAAAAAAACAAGCATTGCGCACATCGATAACATAACTGTTGTTCCATTTCCATTTTGGGTAATAGGAATTCAAATATATATATATATTTGGTGATACGTTTACGAAGGCTGCATCGTGACTGTTTTGTGAAACTGTTTATCTAAGTAGGCAAGGTTATCTGCATGTTAGGCGACCTGCATTGTGTGTCGCTGCTCGATAACCAGCTTTGATTCCTCGCGACTTCCCTCCCTCAGTAAAACTGTGCAATTATCATTTTCTCGTAATTTGTGCTCGTGGAATATTTTTTGACTGGTTGGATAATGAACTTGCCTTGACTTGCCAACAAATTACAAAGAGGGAATTTGGAGCCAGAGGTATTCATAGTATGATTTGGATTGATAGATTACAACTATAAATCATTCATTTTATCTAGTCTTGGCCAATAATTCAATTCTTCTCCAATAACAAACAGTATCAGCAATGTTCTAGGAAACAGGTAGTAGCCGGTTGTCGCATCATGCTAAGCGCTCAGATTACGCATCTCATCACTCAGGTGCGGGGTTTTGCGGGTCAGAACGTTCGATCATATTTTTTAAAAATCGCCGATTGGTTTTGTCAGCACGAAGTGCTATTTAGGCCGTAAACACTTTCACGTTGGTATTTATTTTCCCTGAATAATCACTAATTTACATCAACATATGCATGTCTTATTCCATGAGAACGACGATAATTACTTTTTGTAAGATTGTTGCCAAAAACAAGGCATTGTATTGAAATCACCGGCAACGAGCTGCTAAAGATAATAAAGGGGTGAATCCACAACCCGATTGTTTTGGATTGAAAAGCGGCATTGTAAAATACTAAAATTACAACGAATGGAAACAACATGAATTTTGTTTTAGGAGGCCCGGGACAGATTAAAACATTATGCCGTCGAAAAGGTTTATGGGAAAATACGAATGGAGAAAAGCTATAATCGGACGCATTGTCACACAATTTTATGGCCACGACATTTTGAGCTGTAATGTTTTTACTGTATATTTTAATCAACACAACAGCAGGTTACATTGAACACAATTGAATTAAAAAAGTAAAAATTTTAAATATGCCCGTATCGGCCATGGATTGAATACTTGAACACTGGATTGTAATCTTCGGGCAGACAGACATTTTCACGCAGACAGTGGTATTTTTTCAACGGTGACATCTTAAAAATAATTGTGAGGAGCAGTCGTAATCGCAATTGTAAAAAATAGCTCAAAGTTGGCAAATCCCATTCCAAGCACACAAGAATCCGAATCCAATCCACAACCTGGTAGTTTATAGCGTATTTTATGTCCGCAGATTGCCGTAGTTTTTTAGAGTAGTGGGGCTTTTATTTTATCGTAAATCGGCGCGAAGTCGAGCCACGGTGAACATAATTTAATTAATATGGCAAGACGTTTTAAATGCTCGCATCGGTCCCGAATTGAATACTTTACAAAACAGAAAAGTCGTTATCCATAAAAAATTTAATGGTTGGTGAAATCGCGACGCCTGTTTTGGTAACCGTTGCACGGGAACTTTTGCTTCCCATTTTTGAACCCACCCCCCTTTTGAAAATCCTGGTTAGGCCCCTGTCATCCCTGGTTTCTCTGCGGGAGTTAGTAGGCTTTAATCCCATGTGCGACAAATATGCGCGAGAGCATTGCTGGACCTCTAGCTGTCGTAGCGGGGTTCACGTAATCGCTGGTCCGTTGGACTGGTAACTGGAAGAGAGGTCATGATTCTCCCTATGATTGAGCCATCTAAATTTTTCTTCTCCGCGGGGTAAGTATGAGTCTTTCCTATATTGTCCTACGTGAAAGCTCCGCACTCGCGAAAACCCTCTTTAAAATAAAAATCAACTATTTTGTATAAGAATAACATTTTGGATAAAGGAGGGACAGGAAGATTCATTGTCGCAATGATAAAGTCAACACTATTATGAAATCGGCCAATTGAGAAAATAATTTAACAGTTATAACAGTGATTGATTATCGCATTGTGCTGGTCAGTGTGTGGGACCGATGTAGGTCATCAAGGCTGCTTTCGTTTCTGGGGTATATACCTTCAGCATGGTATAGTAAAGTAGCATAAATGAAAGTAAATGAGATAAAATTTAAGAAAAATAAAGAAACGATTAAAATAGTCGACAATTTAATAAAAAGAGTTAATACGGGCAATTTTCGATGCGATAATCGCAATTTTCGATTTTTGGGTGTCAAAGGTCGGGGAAACGTTTATCTATTCGCCAAATCTCAAGTGGTAAGGAGCGAACTTTTATCAGTGGGTTTGGTGGAACTCATCTTTGGTGGAACTAAAGCAAATGGTCTAATTATTTGGATAATATGGGGGAATTTAACAGAAGTTTGAACGGAAATAACAGAAGAACATCGGGGTGAGTATGTACGGGTACCGTCTTGCCTCGTTATGTTTTGATAGGTAACTTTCACGAGTTGCCGTTTTGTGTGTTTGTCTCATAATTATTTGGTAATATTTTCATATTTATTCTTGGGAGAGGAAATATGATAAGACAGCTTACTTATAAGATAGGATTTTCACATTTATCCAGAGCGAAAAACATTGATAAAACGGCTTAATCATAGGATAGGCAGCCTACTAATATTTATCCTGAGTAACAGGGAAGCTGATAAATGGACTTAATGATACTGTGATAGGATGTGGGGTCTCATGTAGTTTCTTACCTAACATACTTCTAGTGGGCGTAGCATGACAATTTTTTCACATATCAATCCTAACCCCCACCTGACTACACCATCCAAAAATTACGCCATTACGACGTCACAGTGACGTAATAGAGCCCTTCAAACAATACGAACTGCCATCCAAGACGCGTAAACGAACACCCGAAATCGAACAGTCAGTTCTCTCGTTGCAACGATTCCAATAGGAGAGAGACCGATAACGTCAGTCAGTTCTTTATCGTCGGCGCCAATGCCATTTCGGTCGATCGTGCGTATATTTGGCAAGCTCTATGACGTTATTGTGATGTCGTAGTGATTTAATTTTTGGATGGCGTAATCAGATGGGGGTTAGGATTGACATATCAAAAAATTGTTATGCTACGCCGACTAGAAGTCCGTTACGAAACTACATGAGACCCTAGGATGTGTATAGTAATGCTGATAGGACCGTTTGATCATACAATAAGATTCCCATGAAATATGACATTCCTATCCTATGCACCCATTTGCTCTGATTTCCCCCCATTCTGCCATTTGCCCAAGCTGCCAAGTCTGATATCGTACTGATAAACATTCAAAAGAGATTTAGAATGGTTTTACCCAGTGCCCAGTCTGGATTTTATGGCCTTTTTCCACAGATCTCGACATGCAAATCCAGAAATTTTGCCGTGCACTGTGTCAAATGTTTGAACCCGCATGCAAATTTACCATGAAAAGTGCATGCTATATCAGTCAGTTTGCTTGTTTGTAATCTTAATCCCTGATAGCACTGTTTATTGTTATCTGTTTTATTACATCACGCTTTATACTGTCAGATGTCATATAATTGTGAGCAATCACAAATTTTTTGGTGTGCAAAATGGATTTTGCTCGCATGCATTTTTAGGGAACACTAGCGTACTCGGGCGTGCAACTGCTCCGGATGGCAGTCTGACCCAGTGTTTAGGCTCGTATCATTAATTTTGCCAGAGTTTTGGCTTTAAAAAATTCTGATTCAACCGAAGTAAAAATTGTTTTTGCAAAAAACGTTCCCGAGATCTGACGAATTTGCCGTCTGACAAATTAGGTGTTGGTTTCATTAAACCAAATGTCAGTACATCTTGGAATTGGAGAACTGTGCCCCACTGTATTGTTGATGGCTTATCCCAGGGGTTTTAATACTGTGCATAGAAAAGATATTCGAAGATGTCATGGAATATCAATCCATTTCTTAAAAAATTATTCCTTATTTGCCTATGATAAGAATTTGACAAAAATGTCCAGTGAGAAAAATGGCTCGTTAATATCATCCATTTGTGTTATCACTTTCTTTTCCCATACTATGAGGCTGTGACCGGTATTAAAAATTGAATGCATTGCGAGTTTGGGAATCTTTTGCTCAGTCATACTATGAAGGTAGAGTTTTTCCTTCCTTGCTGATATTACTCTCTTAGGGGTGAATACGCGAAGTTGAATCGCCTGCCTTGACTTTTTTTTTTAATTTTTTCTCTTTTTGTCAGGACGATGAAACCTAGTGGATTCCGAACTCGCCCTGTTTTTTACAATCGAGGGGTAAGCGGAAAGCAATCTGCAACCCGTTACCCTCGCAATGTATCCAGGAAGCCGCTTTTACTTCTCGTGATGGACAGTAACGGACGAAACATCGTGCGACCAGAGATTGTAAACCCAAGTACGAATGTCAGTTTTGATTTTGCTGCAATAAGCATTCCAGGTAAGATTTTCATGTATTCAATATTAGGAGTCATTAAAGTGGAACTGGTCAGAAGATCTATTCTGTGAATTGAAGCAAAACTGTGCAGAACTGACACGGGCAAACTACGGCCCGGGGGCCAAATCTAGCCCATTGAGTAATTCAATCTAGCCTGCCTGATGCTGCCACATCTGCACTAAAACCAAATTTTGATGTATTAGGTGAAAATAGCTCAAGGAATTTGTTTAGATTAAGATTAAATTGAGTTTTGCCATAGGCTTATTATTTTCCAATTTTGCTTTTGTAACACCTCATAATAATAAAATGTAACTTTTTACGTCACACTTACATGGCCCGCCAATTTAGGTGGGCAAAATTTTTGGCCCATGGTTCGATAACCTTGTCCACCTCTGGTCTGAAATAATCTATTTAAGCGGAACTGGTGAGAATAATCTTGATTACCGAGTAATTGCTAATCAGAAATGAACAAAACCGAATACTCCACCTTTCACATTTTGGAATATTTACAAAGTATGTAAACAAAGCCTCTGAACATCTGTGGCCTCTTGCTATTCAATAAAAACACCAGAGCTTTGCTTTGTGACATTTCCATCGGTTATTTTATTCATCATGTTTCATATCTTATCTACCAGGTGGGAAAACGTTTCATGCATGCACCGAGTTGCGTCATTTACCAAGATGCCACCACAAGGTGTCTCATGTAGTTCTTGCTCTCGGAACCAACGACATGTTTGAAGGGATGCCAGTTTTGCGTCAGTTTTGTACAAGGGTTGAAAACTTGATCGGTGTTGCCGAAGCTGTTTATCCAGGAGCAAAGGTGAGATTGTTTGATTTGACACTTTTAAACTTCACGCTTTAGTTTGACAAGGCCTTTTAATCCTTTCCGTGCGGTGGGCACGTATACGTACCCACGACAAAACTCGCTAGATTGCGGCGGGTACGTTGATGTACTCCACTGTTTTATTTAGCAATCGGTCGCAAACTGTTGGTCTAGTTTTTCCGGGTTTTAGTTTATTGATAAGAAGTCGTCTTCGAGATTAACATAGGCGACAGTAAATCTCGCTTTCGTTTACCATGGAAATTTTATTTGCGGCGGAACGAGGGAGTGTTTTTGAAATTTATGCAAATTTCGGTGTTTTTTGGGTGGTAATAGAAGACATATTATCCCTTCCATCTACCAAAGTATTTTGAGTTAGATAACGAAATTGCTACAGCAATATTATGCTATTGTTTGCCAACCAAGAAGCGGTAACAGTAAAGGATTTAGCGAATATTTCTATTTTTTATCACGGTTTGAAGTTTCAACACCCAAGAAAAAAAAATGCCTCTTTTCTATCCGGTTTGTGAAAAAAAAAGTTTTTTTAATCGCCAATTACAAGCTCTTTAAATAAGCTTTCTAACGAGCCGTCAGTGGGCAGCAGAGGATCATTACTTTTTCGTTAGTCGATCGATTAGTTGTGGGGGTACAAATGCATAAAGTCGGCGTAGCAAATACGATTATTTAATGAAAAATAAAAATCGCATGGAAAGGGTTAAGGCATGGGTGCACAATACAATGTGACACAACATATGCTCGAACATGCAACATGAACGGTTCATTAAAAAGTAATTCTTGTAGATACAATAAATCTGGTGCTCCAGAAGTATGTGTACCAATATGGAGGTAACTAATTTTGTTCGCCACTTTACATCAAGTTGTGTAACCTATGGACAGGACGAGGGGGTATATTAACTTGGCTGACACAGACAGTCCCCGACTTGTAATAAAACTAAAATAGGGAAAATCTGAATAAAATTATGTTATGGCCTAACCCTAACCTGGTACACATACTACAGGAGTACCAAAAATCCTAGTATTCACATTCAATTCGAAATAAACATAAATCACCATGTTTATTCTTACATTGATAGCTTGTGGACTTGATATCTATTATTATCTGTTTTATTGAAGTTTTTTAGTCTGTGTTTCACGGAAAGTTCGTTTTCTGACAAGATTAAAGTTTGGATCATATCCCGTTTGAGTCATAGGATAGGATTTACATATTTATCCTGGGGGAGAGGAAAGCCGATAAGACGACTAATCCATATGGCGAACCACGGCCTCTCGTCCGGTTACCATTCCAAGTCGGGTATGGGATTAGTTATATTGTTTGTTTTCGGAAGCATGGACTTGGTGGTGGAGGAAGCCGTAACCGACCATCGGTTACGTGAACCACCCAACGACGGCGAGGAGTCCAGCAATCCTCTCGCACACAACCATCCCTGCATGGGATTCGAACTTGCGAACCCACGCAGAGTAATTAGAGGTGCGGTGGCGAGCGTAATCCTAACGCTTAGCCCGTTGAGCCACACCGCCGCGCTCTATGGCGAGATCCACTCCACTCATACCTAGTATTCTTCTAAAGGATTTGGATTTGTTCAAGTTTGGCATTTTTGCAGTCTTTGTTGCTTAGTCGCATCAGGACATGGTTTTCCACACACAACCTGGGGGCTCAATACGACGGCGTAATTGTCAAAATAGAGAGCCTTCATCAGGCAGGGTTGGAATCTACATCCTTCAATCCTGTGTGGCAATGAGATTGTTCCACGATCAGAGAGAAATTCTCCTTTGTAGTAGTAATAGTATTTTTTGGTTATTTGTGATTAATTGATTGATACAATTCTTGTTCATCTAGATCTCATACGCTTCAATAATTCCACGACACGATGAGCATGCGGCAGTCGTATCTGAAGCAAATGCAATCATCCGTGAAGTTACTGAAGATTACGGAATCAAATTTATCAAAATCAAAGTGCCGAGCCGACCAGACTATTGGAGTGATTTGATACACATGTCAGATGAAGGTAATGTTGACATAGGCTAGTCAGAGATTTGGGGAGAATGCTGGTTTGAAATACCATGGCTACAGCTCTGAAGCTTCATTTATTTACGATTGATCCTCCATACCAAGGGTTCCCAAGCTTCTTTCAGGACGAAGACATCTTTCAAGTGTCCAGTGCAACCCCAGGTCAATATATATATTTTTCATGAACTTCTGAAGATTTTTCATGAACTTCTGAAGCTTCTTTCACTGGACTTTTGAGTTTGGTCATGTGGTGGTATTAAGTAAAATAAGCTAAAACCAAACAGTGATGTCACAATAATCACCTACATTTTCTATAGCATAAGCATAGAGCGATGCCTATGGGCCTGTTTTACAGCGAGTCATGGTACAAACTGCTAAATTTAACATTGTTTGTCAAATCTTAGATGATTTGTACATCCATCCTCTACCATACCTCAGCGACCCCATGACCTGTTTGAGACCCTATCTACTTATCACTATGACCCAATTTGGGGTCGCGACCTCTGGTTTGGGAACCCCTGTTCCATACCAATTAAGGTTTTCAGTGTAAAACCACTACCATGAAATATCTGCCCAAATGCAGTTCCGTTGGAAGCGTGACTCAAAACTAAAGCTAACTCAAATTTCAATAACATAAATTAATCAAAGTTTTAGATATAATTTTATTCCAAGTTCCAGGGATAGCCAAAACTGGAATTTCTCACTATTCCGAATTCTTTCTTAAAAATATTTTCAAATGTGAAATATCGCATGCATACTTTGTAAATTAGGGGCAAGTTTGTTTTAAAATTATGGTGGAGTTGGTTGGTTGCTTAGTAACTAGCCATAATTCCTTGCAACTTCCTCTGATGAATTAACTCTTCTATTCAGGTCTACGAAAATTTATGCAAAGTTTTGAATCACAAGTCGAAGACAAAATTTTTAACAACAAAGAATTCAAGCCAGAGGAAGAGATGTCACATCGACGAAACTCTTCATTTTTTGGAAGAAATGACGGATACGATGACAAATACGCAAGGAAGCGGAAATCACCAGACTTTAGTTCGAATTTGCATGGCGGGAAAAGGATGTCACTGGGAACGACATCAAAAGAGTTTAATGAAACTTGGCCGAGATTGCGCAATACCAGATCACCCATTCGTTTCAAGTCGCGATCACCTATACGTGACAGGTCACGATCATCCATGCGTTACAAATTGAACTCATCCAGACATGAGAGATCAAATTCACCCATGCGTAAAAGTCCTCAATCACTCAAGCATAACACGTCAAGATCATCCAAGCATAACACGTCAAAGTCATCCGGGCATGGAAGGTCAAAATCACCGAAGCATAAAAAGCCTCGATCACCCAAACATGAAGAGTTCAAATCATCCAAGCGTAGCATTATTCGGTCCCGTAGCAATTCTGAAAGCTCCGAAGTTTCCGACGATACGATTTCAAGTTCTTCATATACAAGTTCTTCCCCTGAGGTCAGAGGTCAAACTCGAAGAATTTTCATAAGATCATCCCCAGACAAACATAAAAGCGATCAGAAGGACAGTAGTTCCAGACTCGCCCAATCCTTCAAGTCTGAGAAAAAAGTGTGGATGAAATCTAAGATTAATAAAATACCAAGAAATATTGAGAGAGAGGAAAGTCTAGAATCGTCAAGGCAGAAGGAATACCCAGGTCTATTCAAGGGTCCAACCGATAGAATTTTTTCAACGTCTTCTGAAACAGCGGACGATGAAACTGATCATGCGTCTCAATGTTCATTGTCAATTCACAAAAAGAAAAGACCGGCTGGTTTGGACTCTGACGAATGTTTTACTCCCGTGAAGTCGTCAAGAAAAGTGTCGGCACCCGCGGAATCGTGGACCGAGATCCGACAAAAGTTCGACAACAGTTTGAATGAATCTACAGATCTCAACAATTCGAACATCAGTGACACTCGTGAAATTGTTTGCACGACATCTTGTGGTCATAATATCGCACAAAAAACAACCCATCGCGTTATTTCAAAGACCGGTACTAAAGAAAAATCGAACCAGGTCCATAAAATATCTGGTACGAAGATGCAAAATGTGTCGTTGAGTGGTTCAATCAAAAAAGAAAGTTTGTCTGATCAAAGGGTAGTGACTTCGAACTCTGGTTCACAAGAATCGAAAACAAAATTAAAAATTAAATCACCCACAAAGCGGCGACAAAGAGTTAAATCTGTTGGATTGCAGGACAGATTTGTAAAGAATGTACTGGATTCGCATCTGAGAGGCTCGACTTCTCAAAGCTCTCACAATACCTAATATATTATGGTTTCATATTCTGAAATGGGGGTGATACTTATTACATCTGTCTCATTTTTAGAGGAGGTGGGTGATATCACATTTTTTATGCGTCGTTTTTCACTGTTTGATATATCCACTGAAATACTTTGGAGCAGTGCGCACTCGATTTAGTCAAAATGGTGGATGTTTGCATCATAGAAGTCAAACCTATGATTTCAACATAGTTATGTCCAAATCCAACTGATAATCTCTATACACTTTTCATGGCGATTGAATATCTATGCCAGTATTCAAATTGCCATATGCCATCTAGGGATCAGAATATTCCGATGTGTAGGGTGTGCAAAGGACTTATACTCCTGAGACAAGTGAAATAGAACTTATTTGTGATTTTCTGTTTTTTTTATGAATGAGTGTATGTATATTCAGTTTTTATTTGTTTTCAGTAAAGTTTTTTTTTCGTTTTGTCCAAATCCAGGATCTCTTTATGTTCTGTTCTGTGCAGGATCTGTTCTGTTCTGAGTCGCAGGACTGCGGAGATCTTGACCCGTTTAATTGACTGATATCATAACTGGCATCAGTGGCATGGACCGGTTACATTACGAGACGCGGTGGTTCACAAGTGATTGAACAGTGTTATCGACTTTACTCCGAGATGAATATGGAAATTCTATCCCATGATGGATCAGTATTATCGGAATGTCCCCCTTCCCCCCTCAGGATAAAAATGAAAAATTCGACGCCCTGACTGGGGAGGAAACGATGGGTCATACTCTTCATAAAGCACTCACCGCCAGCAAAGTCAATAAGATAGCTTTGCAGGGGCCTTTTATTTCCTTACTTTAATCCCAAGTGTTGTTATATAAAGCAGTGGTTTTAAATCTTTCTTCTGATAGCCCATTCTTGTTGCACAAAAATCTGTGGCCCATTAACTTTCTCATGCAAGCGGAAAACAAAATAATTGCCAGCATAGACACTTCCACTTAGTAATTAAAATGAGAATTACTACTCGCACCATCATTTATCGCTACTAACGTGGGGTTTTCCCGACTGCGGCTCGCAAGGCCGTCTCAAAATTTCTTGCGACCTTCGCAACGTTTAAAAACTACTAGTTATCGGGAGTATCAGTGACTGAAAATGCAGGTATCACTGTCCAGAAGGATAGGTATAGCAAGTATCAATGACCAGAATGAGAGGTACTGCAAGTATCAGTGACGAGAAGGGCAGGTATCGTAAGTATCAGTGACTAGAAATGCAGGTATCGCGATTATCAGTGACTAGAAGGGCAGGTATCGCAAGTATCAGGGACTAGAAGGGCAGGTATCGCGATTATCAGTGACTAGAAATGCAGGTATCGCGATTATCAGTGACTAGAAATGCAGGTATCGCGATTATCAGGGACTAGAAGGGCAGGTATCGCAAGTATCAGTGACTAGAAGGCAGGGGCGGACTAAGCCCCTTTGGTGCCCTAAGCACTGGAGACTTTGGTGCCCCCATATGTGTCTTTCAAAATACATATAATTAAGTGTATTATCCATCAAAAATACTCACAATCAACAGTAAAAAAATACAACTTTTACGAACATTTTTAGGTTTTCTTACAATTTTTTGACTGTGAAATTTTGCTCATATTCCCAAAACTAATCTTATTCTTACATAACACATCTTTTACATTAAATAATGAACAACACAGAATTTTGAAAAGATGAAATTGAAATAAAACAATACCAACAGTAAGGAAGCAAAAGATGTTTTTCGGTACATTTACTTGAATTTGATTCTGATAAATTTTCTCATATTATCAAAACAAGTCTCCCTCCATACTAGATACTACACCACTGACATTACAAAGGCACCACTAACATTTGAAAAGACAGAAGTCTTTCACTTACTTTTGAAAAGTTTTTTCCTAATTTTTTTTAGCTGCAAAGTCTTTGATTAGATCCTCAAAACTAAGCTTATGTAACACATCTGCCTCTATACTCAACAGAGATGAAGCATCTAGCCTGTCTTGTTTCATAGTTGTTCTGTAGGGGTTTTTAATATACTTCAGCTGAGAAAATGAACGTTATGCTGAACAATTTGTGATCATTAATACTTAATAGTCTAGTCCAGTGGTTCCCAAACTTTTTTGACCATCGCCCCCCCTACACTAGTTTATACAACTTCATCGCCCCCCCGGCACTACAAAAAAAATGTAAAGTCAAAAACGAATATAATACAGACCAAATAAGGAAACAAATCATAGTTTATGGTGTTTTTTAATGAGATGGATGAGCTTGGTGTTCTCCAGCGAGTTTTTTTATTATATCTGAAATTACCCAGTTCACTGATGGAAAGGCGATTTCGTTGTTATGATAGCAATAGAAGCATGGCTCAAAAAATCCTTTTCTTCATAATAATAGGTCGGAAATGAACGATTCCAGGGTTCTACCTCCTCCAAAACCGCTGTGTACTCTTGCCTTATAGCATTTCACTCCCTAAATTCACCCCATTTCACATTAAAATAATGAAAACAAAGTTAATTTTCCCAAAGTTATAATAATGATTTTCGTACATCTCATCATTCCTACAGCCTGATGACCTGCACTAATATACTTCGGTAAAATTCATCCCCGATTCCTCACCCTACCACGGCCTCCAGTCCGATCACCAGTCCATAGAATTATTCAGCTGTTTGATTTTGGATTCATGGACTCGGATGTGGAAGAAATTGTGACCGACTGTCGACTACGGCCCAGGGGTCGGCAAATTTTATGTCGCTCGCGAGACAAAATTTAGAATTGCTAGTCTTTTGCGGGTCGCTTATATTTTTAAAAGTTAAAAACGGAACAGCGCGCGAAAACTGCGACAATTCGTGAACTCAACTTAATCGTCTTATTAAAAAATTATTACAATGACATTTAATGTGACACTGTCTTGTTGCTGCATCACGTTTGATAGCTTTACGACGCCAAGGTTGGAAGATTTTCTAAATTGACTAATCCCAGTTCTTTGCTTGTTTCTTGTAAAGTCTCCGTTTTCGAAAATAATTGTTCGCACAAATATGTACTTCCAAACATCTAAGTAAATATTCTCGCATGGTTTGTGAAATTTTGATAAAGATTTTCTTTAAGAAGATACACTTTTACAAAAATTACGCAGTGATGAATCTCTCGAATAGAATATGAATTTTATTTCCTTATAGCATTGCAATATATTCGAATATTTACTGCGCTATTGAACCCCTGCCCTCAACAGCAACTTTTTTTTCTTCGTGTTTCCATTTCTCTAATTATAATTAAATTGTAGGCTCGTTAGACGAGTAGCTAGCTGTCCAATAGAATTTTTAGGATATGATAAAATTTAGTCTAAACTGTCTCACGATAAATTCTGTTACGTAAGAAAATGTAATTTACTCCCCGAGCGTAGATTATAAATAAAATAAATTCATCGTCAAAACCGCCGTTTGGATGTTTACCCGGGCATTCCTTGTTTGCATCGTGACATTGGCCAATCAGCAAGATGAAAAAATAAACGTAACAAATTCCCCCCTATTCGCATCCGCTCAGACAGACTTTCAGACGTGGTCGTGAACATTTCTCATTTCCTCGTTTTGGATTATATTCGTTAGTTTTTAGTTGTTTTTCGGAAATTTAAATATAAATCATATACGTCAATGATTACTTTGTCTTCCTATGAGTTTCATTTCAAATACAGTAATCAAAAATTGGTGTAGAAATAGCTGTGATAGACTAGGCTAAAAAATTTTAGCGGTACTTTTAAAAAACAGATTGTTGAATGATATGAATTATGATGATAGTTTGAAACAAATACCCCATTTTACACAGCCATCAACTCGCAAAACCACTCTTAAAATAAGCATTGAAAATTTTAAAATGGTAAAGTATAGGAAGAATTTTCCGCGGTCAAAGGTCGGGGATAGGTCCATTCGGTGAATCGTCCCGGGCCAGATTTTTTTATTCCGGCCGTATTTTGCCAACCACTGGGATACGCAAACAACAGTACCTTACTGCGGAGACGAGTCCAGCAATCCTTTCGCGTGTGATAATCGACAACGAGATTCAAGCCTGCGAATGCACACAGAGTACAGAATTAAGTGCACTGTGCGCCGAGCAAAAAAAGGTTTCGCGAAATCGCCCCCCTTCGACTTTTTCGCCCCTCTCTGTATCGTTATCGCCCACCGGGGGGCGATATCGCCCACTTTGGGAAATCACTGGCTAGTCTACCTTACCAGAAAACTCCCCAACTTCGCTGAAATGCGATCGCGGAACCGCCACATAGTGCGCCATTTTTAATTTTGATGATGTCGCCACACCAAACTTTCGACAAGTAAGTTTCAGTGTTCATCACTAATTAGGGTTACCATATTTTTGTGACTTCAAATCGGGACGCCTCAAAAGACAACAATTTTGTAACTTCACATTTTCCGATTTTATTACATAGGCCTACATTCCTACATTTAAAGCTGTCCCGGCTGTTTTTATTGACCATATTGTTATCGGTATTTTATGCGCATATTCTCTGTCCAAATATCGGGTTCAGTTCGAAAAATAGGAAGGAATTGACGTTAACGATACCGGTACAAATAATTCGAATTTAGACTAATTAGTATTGGTTTTACATGCGATACGTCTGCCATCAATGGGAAACAGCGGGAAACGAACGCATTCACCTTCAGTAAGCAGGCTAGCGCTGCGCTTCACAGAAACAACAGTAACGAGAACATGTTTGTGTATCATGCTGGAAAAGCGGGACTTTTGGCTGACTTATCGGGACGGCGGGACAAAACGCTGAAAAGCGGGACTGTCCCGCCTAAAGCGGGACGTATGGTAAGCCTATCACTAATGTATCTTTCCCCGAGCATCAACCTCCTTGTTGACTTCGAGTAATTGGCCAATCAGCAAGATGCAAAAAGTGACGTAACAATGCACCCTTTTGGCATCCGCTCAGACACTTTTCTCACTCAGACAGATTTTCAGGCATGGTTGTAAACATTACCTCGTTTTCGCGTTTTTTAACTCTATTCATTAGTTTTCAGTTGTGTTTCGGAAATTTGAGTATAAATCAGGTAATTAAATGATCACCATGTCTTTTTATAAGTTTTAATTCAATTGCAGTAATGAAAAATTGGTGTAAAAATAGCTGTGGTAGACTAGGCTAAAATTCCTTACCGGTACTTATAAAAAGGTGATTATTGTACGCGATGAAACATAATGATAGTTTCAACAAAAACCCCATTTTACAGGGGCCAACTCGCGAAACCACTGCTAAAATAAGCCCCGGAAATTTTGCAATGGTAAAGTATAAGAAGAATTTTTCGGGAGTCAAAGGTCGGGGAAAGGTCCATTGATGTACACGATTTTTTAAAAATAAAGGTCGCAAACCTCCAAACATTAATCGAGAAGCTTAATATGATGCTTGAGGAAAAGAAAATACGAACAAGTCTGAGTTGTCTGACCAACTCGTAATA